GCTTCCTCATACGGGAATAACCAGCTAACCCCAAATCGCGTGCCTCAACTTTTAATTGTTTTACAGAGGGGAGCTGAACGCGAACGGGGTCGTTTAATAATGTGACTAACCTGGCTCTCCCCAGGTGGGAATAACCCGTCAACCCTAGCTCTTTTGCTCGGAGTTTTAGTTGTTTTACCGTGGGAGGGGCTTGTATGCCTAGTAACCTCAACAACTGTGGTTTCCTCATTCTAGAATAACCAATTACTCCCCGCCGCTTGGCGATATGCTTGAGCTCGCGAGTAGTAGACATAGTTGCGTACACACCTAAGTATATCGATCGGCCGGCAAGGGAGGTAACTCCTCCAACCTTGATAAAAAATAGAGGCGTTATAAAATCCTTAGTAAATATCTAGATAGACCTTATCGATTATACCCTCGACCCACCCGGAACATGCGCAGCATAGTAGGGTGTTTTGTATTACTTGCAACGAGTCGTCAACAAGTATATCTATCTCCCCATGCACATCTACTCGGCCACCATCAAAGTAATTCCAAGTGTGCCCAGCCCACGGCACATCAAACCCTACTTTCACCATGATTGTAAATGAGCACCATTTATATAGTTCGCTAACAATCATGGGTTTGAGGACACTGATATCTATACTTTCCCCCACATCCATCTGCCAGCTTCTCAGGCAACGACTTTCCCTGGGCTCAATTTCCACAAACATTGTTATACCTAGGTGTGTCCACAGTCTCTAATTGGGGCACTACACTGCTATCCTGAGGAGGCGCCTACGTTCTTTTCTGTAGTCCTTTTTCATCTCGTAGATGAGATGATGCCTGACTACGTTTGCCCCGTGAGCTTTGCATAGGCAGTAGTGCCCTTTCACCCCGATACCACACACAGAACACGTGTAGTTTGGGCTTCCCATGTAAAAACAACAGTACCCCTCAGTCCTGCATCTCCTACCGCAGGCCTCTGTCTTCCCCATAAGTATGTATTGGCATCAGTACGGAGCAGGTCTCATCTTTGGTATACCCATACTCCTTGAGGCTCGGTCGACCATTGGCGAGGACACTCGGTATGTCGCCTGACAAGATAAAACCAACAACTACCGTCACAGGCACGAAGTTACCCAAACTAGTACCGTACCGAGAGCTGTGCATTCATCTCGGCCAGCTGAGCACAACGGACAACATTCAAGGGGGTCACCCTTCCACGATACTGAGAGCCGTACCGGTGAAAACGGAGAAATACAACGACGGCAGAACCAAGGCGTTTTCACCGCGTCAGTATAAGAGGTTAACCCGGGGTAACATCCCTGAGCTGATAATATCGGTGTTAGATATAAATCATAACCCTGTGAATATAGGATACCTCAGCATAACGCTGCACATAAAATGACTAGCGCACAAGGCCCCGGGATGAAGTTGAAAAAATGCATCAATGCGGGGATATCCGACCTCGGGGACACACGCGGATTCGACGACCCCAGAGTAGATGGTAAACTGTACGCCTTGCAACTGAAAAACAACATTTACAAACACGTTGAAGTCCCCTCCATCGGTAGAACCCTAGGTGACATAGTAGATGTCTCAGGAGCGGCTCTCAACACTCGGTTCGACCTAGTCCGTATCGGTGATGATAGATGGGCGGTATCCCAATCGTTCGGAGGCAAACTGTTCGACTTAGAAGATGTTGATAGCACGACCGTCGCCCGAAACAACCCATATACGCTCGTCTTCACCGACGACGACAAGTGGGTGTTGTTGCCCGCTAAAGTCGACTGGTTTCTCAACATTAAGCTTGGCTCCCCCTACGTGTTCACAGAGAACAAAGACAACTACCTAAACAAAGTCGTGAACAACGGAACCCTGCTCGTAGCTTACGTCCCGGCGCAGAGACGTAGCGTAGTCTTCAGCCCAGTCGCCAGTATGGCAGCCCACATGCTATCGAGTAAACAGGGAGTGCAAGACGGAGCATTGCAGTTGGTATCTGAATTCGCTGGCGTGGTCAACATCCTGGCGAGCCTACCGGCGAACTCCACGCTAGTCATCAAAGTCTACCTAGGGGAACCATCGCCGGATGAAGTCGAAATCGTAAAGGGGATCAAACTCCGGTTGGGGAAACAACACCAGTATCATGTTTGCACTGTTTACGTTCGGGTGGGTGTCGACTCCCACACCAGTCTGCAGGGGGTCACCGTGACCGTGGAAGCCACGATATCACTAACCAAGATCTTCCTACCCGACAACATACACTTCATGGGGGTAAAGTGCACCCCTGAGAAATTATCAGAAAAACAATTGGAAACTATCTCGTAATAGTATTATAGCAATGTCCAATCGGCATCGACCCAACGCCACGCTTAACGATCTAGGAGACACGGAGGGATTCGATCAGCTTGGCGAGGAAGACACCTCGTACATCCTACACTTGAAAGACAACGTGTATAGGCGGGCAGCAATGGCCAATCATCTACCCCAAATCACACTCGGGGGTCTAGGAGGCATAGAGGGATTCGATCAGCCCGGCGAGGAAGACACCTCGTACGTCCTACACTTGAAAGACAACGTGTATAGGCGGGCAGCAATGGCCAATCATCTACCCCAAATCACACTCGGGGGTCTAGGAGGCATAGAGGGATTCGATCAGCCCGGCGAGGAAGACACCTCGTACGTCCTACACTTAAGAAACGGCGTGTATGTGCGGCGGCGTCTGCCAGACCACTTTATAGAACCCAAATGGTTGCTCAACATGACCCTCACCGAACTTTATATCTTGTTTGACAAAGATAGGCATATCTCCGAAATTAGGAACAATGGTATCTTGTTCGGGGCTTTCGTTCCGAAGTATGCTATAAGTACTCAACTAATGGGGGATCACACAGGTAACGTGTTAGTTACTTCAGGCTTGGAGGACGAGTTAAAGTTTGACGTCCCCAATTCCCAATTGGACCTTATTAAGGTGAAACCAGGCTCCACACTCGCCATAGAAGTCTTCTTCATGGGGGGTGATCCTGTAGAACAGCAACTTTTACCCGGGGTGACAATACGCTATGTCATCCTAAGCTGGCAAACATTGCCGTGATCGCCATACAACCGACCCCTCAACGGGTTCTATAGTCCCCTCAATACACTCCTTAGAAGGCTCCCTCGATAGGGTTCATGTGGACGCACAGTTACCTATTTCCCTCTACCCTATTTCCCTGTACAAGGGTCTAAGACTTGTAAGCTTCAAATACACTGAGCAAAAAGTAAATAACACACATTTTAAAGATATTTTTTAGAATATATTAGATGCACAGTATGGGTCTGTACCCAGTCGCAGAGGAAGTAGCGAAGCCCCTGGAAACCGTAGACGGGTTCCGCTTGAGCCAGTTATGCGACATAAAACGCCAACTAGAACAAGACCGCGACACACGGGCAGCATTGTATAAGAAGTACCATAGAGCTTTCAATGTTGTGGATGGTGTTGATACCGCCTTTATGGCCACCAGTATGGGGTTAGGGGCAGTAGGTGTGGGGTTGTTGGCCACCATCATAGCCGCAGCCGCAGTGCTAGGCATCGAAATAACAGCTGGGGTGTCAGGGTTGGCTGGATTGGTGTTTAAGTTTGTGTCACGCAGACTGCACTGGAAGGCATTGAAACACGACGAGATCAGGATTCTGTCTGAAGCAAAGCTGAACACGGTAAGTGATCGTATTTCTACAGCACTCACTGACAGTAAGATCTCAGAGGAGAATCTCCTTCAATCCTCTCTGAACTCGACAAGTACCGTAAGATGAAACAAGAAATCCGGCTCAAGTCTCGTAAGTCTGCTATCGGCGAAGACGAGAAAAAAAAAGTACATAGAACAAGGGGTGCGAAACATTAAACTGTTTCACAAGACATAGAGCTATCACGTGATCAGGAAGTGGCACGTGGGGTCGGGAAGTTAACTGGGGATTCAAAAGTAGTAGATACGATGGGGGCGAGATCTAAGGGCCTGACAAAGCTTTATTAATGAAATAAAGCTTTACAGCGACCTTTCTTGAAAGTGATCTCGTACCCCCATTACTTCTACAATCCAGTGCCCTGTGTTTGGTGCATTCCCAACACATGTGTGACTTGCTTGTAGTCTTCTTTGTGTACATGTAGCCTTCATAGGACACCACCCTTGTTCTTGTGTACTAACTCCATGATCCAGTTTTAGTCAATTTTTTTTCACAGCAACGTATATACACCTGGCTCATACTTGAGCAAATTAGCTTAATTAAAGTAAAATTTTGCAAAATACATTGATCCCAGTGTAATAGGTATGGTGTGTTTGTTTTGCAATATACCCACATCCTCCTTTGGAAAGCCTGAGTTTGGCTGTGAAATGTTTGTTTTGCAAAATACCAATTTCCTTTATAGGTTGCAGACTTTCCAAGTAAGAAAATATCATATTTTTTCCATTTCCTTTACATTGATATAATAAAATACTTTATAAAATATATAAGAGCAATGAGAAATGTTAATTATACTTTATAAAACATAAAAGACCTTTTCCTACTTAAAATACTGTATAAAAGACATAAAAGCAGTGAGAAATGTTCATTCTTTTTATGAAATGCATGAATCGAGGGGCTTTGACAGGGGTGCTCAAATTTGTGAGGGGTTTTTGATCGAGGGGCTTTTGTACCAAGGGGCTTTTGGTCGGTACCCGATTGTGCAATTCATCCAGGTACCCACAGAAAAAATATAAACCAACAAAGAAACAACCAGTTATGGGGAATTGCACCAGATCAGTACCCCTTTAAATGCTGAATGCTCACTGGTTGGACTATTATCTTGAAAGATGGTTGTGGGAACTGACATGGCAGAAGATGTCTTCTGCTGAAAATTGCGAAGACTAGTTTTGTGTAATTGCACCAAAAATACAGGATTTATGGCAATAATGTAGGTAAAGGGTTCTTAAGAATTAATGGCATCTGCATGTCTGTAGGCTCTAGTGCATGCCATCCAACGTCCAAGTTCAGTGAATTCTTACCTTAAGGTTACAGAATTTGTTTAAGAAAGCATCTATGCTGGTCACATCATCTTCGACTAAGTGCTCACCAACAAGAAGAGGCATGATTTGATGTTTTTCGCTCTACAAAGAAGAGATATAGAGATTCTTAATATTTGACCAAACATGGCTATGTTGAGGCCATGTTTATACTTGGATTTGAATTGTGAGTGTAAATTTAAGAGACATCATAATTTAGAACATTTATAGAAAGATACAGCTCAATTATGTCATCAACAAATACCATCTTTTAAGTTTCTTGGTCTGACATGGCTGGTCTTTCCTCTCTCCAGGCAGTTGCTGTGTCCACTAAACTAGGGCTGGTACAGGTAACCCGGTGTAGCAGGCCATTTCTTCCCCGGTCTAAACTTTCCCCGGGGAGGTTTTGTCCTAGGATATTCTAACCCCGGGGAAAGTTTGGGCTAGGCTAAATTTTCTCCCCCTAGGCCAAACTTTTCCCCCTGTTGAAACTAGGACATAAAATTGTTCTGTTTTCTATGAAAAGGGGGGAGATTCTGGCCAAGCTAGGCCACTTCTTCTCCGCCCTTGTTCTCATATCAAAAGGGGGAGATTCTGGCCTAGCTAGGCTACTTCTTCCCCACCATTGCTCTTACATCAAAAGGGGGTGATGCTGCCCTAGCCAGACTACTTCTTCCCCACTCTTGCTCTTATAAACCGACAGTAGGTTTGACTTATATTTTGGAACACATGTTTGCTAAATAGTCCATTTTTGCCTCTGACTTGGGTGTAGTGATTTGAATGCATACATGTTTGAATGGCATATATCTCTAAATCCATCCTGCTCCTGCCGCCATTCCTATGAAGACACATTACATTAGTTCTTCATCTGTCCACCATAAGATGTAAACATTCAATCGCACATTTGATGGGTAAATAAGATGTAATATACACAGGTTGCTTGCTCTCTTATCATGCTGTTTATTATCTAATATTTGTTGTATTTATGTATAAATGTAATGGAACATTATTCACATAAGCTTGTTTACTAATCCATAATCACTTTGGGTGAATGAAATATGATTCAGATATCCATGGGCAAAGCACATTGTATATCCCTTATAAAGCCTTGTCTTTTGAATACAGAATAAGGCAGTATAGTGGAATGATAGATGATACAGCATTTCATACAGATATTGTGTTGGGTTGTTGTTGTTGTGTTGATGTTTACATCTGCTTCCAACTGTTTAGTTCATGTCGCCGACATGGATGCCATATCCCCCTGGCTGCCGAGTTTTTTTTCAGGCGCACATTTTCATACACTTTGAAAAGTGAACGTTGTGCGAGAATTGGGCTCGTGTGGTCCTGGATCTACGTACGGCTATAAAATTACACAGAAATGTAGAATATTAAACTTCCTATCCGTTGGTATAAATATAAGTGCAACTACCTCGGCGGTTTGAAAAACAGACCTTGCTAAATATTGTCCAAATTTTTGTTATCGCTAAAAACAGTAAATTTCTCCGCTTTTTATCAAGCACCCATAAAAGCACTGTGCTACTCTGAATTTTTTTATTTTGGCATCTTCACGGGAAAGTGTGAAGAAAATACAGCCTGATATCTGAACGACATAAATGTATATGAATTGGATTTATGTGCTTATGCATAACATTATCGCTCAACGTTAAAATGACTCGCAATAAATGTCAAAATGGATTTTCTTCTCGACGTCAAAGCGGCGACAGAGAGGTCATACATTATAATGATAAGGGGCATAACTCCGTTATTCTTAACACGAGGTCAATGTAACTCTAATCACATGGAGAGTATTTGTTTTGGATATGGACGCTATATTTTCGTTATTTTTGTTCACGGTGAACCAAACTATTCCAATTCAAAGTTCCCCAATGTGAGCGGATCACGCTTTGGTAGTTTCACAATTTATAAGAAAAGATGACAACGTACTACAATTGAAAGCACGTAATGGCGATTTGGATGGCCCTATCCGATATATAAGTTAGTTCTTAGATTCCCATATTCTCCTGTTTGTGTAGATGTATTTTGACCAATTTTGCATCGTTATTACCAGAATACTAGCCATATCTTCAAATGTATTGAAATTGCTGAAAATAATACAACATTTTAGTTGACGTCATTGCTTGTTTTATGCATTTTGCGACGTCGGAAAGTGACGACATTGGTATTCTGATTAGTATATATCTCACCTAATTTCCATTAATTGTGTGAAAGGTCTCGGCTTCTTTTTCAGAATTAACACTCTTTAGACAAAACATAAAATGACTGTTTTTTCCATTTTAAATAGTGTCCTGAATATATCAACAATTAGACAGTTTGACTGTGTATCTTATCATGAGCAACACGCGCACCTGTTTGGCATCAATTTAACGTAAATGAAAAATAACATTTCACAACACCTGAATATTTCCGACAAACGCGCACCTGGCCAATCAATATACATCATTGTTTTCTCTATAAAACGACACAAAAATGTGCAATGAACAAGACATTTCCTTTAAATGTGTGTGCATATACATTTCATAACATACATAAATCATTTTCATTAAATATTATCAGTTTTACTTATAAGGTTTAATCAAATCGCCATTCATTAACCTGTTCATGTGAAACTGCAATATGAGTTCAAATGCATTGAATATTGTACATCATAGGAACTAAGGTAATATTGCAGTTATGGCTACGTTTGATCTTCTAACACTTGTGTAAAGGTTTAGAATATGGTGTACTGCACTAAATGTGTCAATTTCTTATGTAAATATTATTCAAACAATCAAAACCTTTCAAAGAATAAAACACCGTAAACCCTATATGCAAGTATGATAGGATATTTTTACAAGGCTAAATGTAGATACTGAGGTCAGTTTCATGAAAAAGTATCTGAACTATCCGCAAAATATACATTATAATACTGACAGTGTAATCGGAAGGATTGGGCGATTGTGTTTACTCTTGTTCAACCGACCTTCACCTCAAAGAAATTGCCTAATATGTACAACAATGTTGACGTATGACATCACTACCGATGACCTATTTCTTACAAAATGGCAGCTTTGCTGACAGGGATAGATAGGATTTTGTGAGGACTCTTCCATTGATTCAGGGATCGTTTGTAGATAAATATGAGATGTAAGTAATCAGAATGATTCTGACTAACTGTTTATTGTTATATGTTTCTATCGTTTTCACTGTAAGTAAGAGAAGAAGCCAGAAATGCTGATATGTTACAGTTGTCGTTCTGCGTGATTTTGCGCCAGTCATGGCGTCGCGCTAACGGAAACTTTGACAGTTTCTTATGAATTATCAAATCATTGCATTGTATCTATTTATAATTTCCTATTTCTTACTACGATACTCTTTCCATGCATATTCAAAAGGTATTGAGCTATTGCAAGCTATGAATAGACGGATGAATGTTGGAAACTTTCAGAAAATGCTACGCAGTGTAAAATCGAATTTGTCTTTGTTTACGTTTGAACCAGCGCAGTCTTTTCGAGCACAGCGTTCGATTTTCACACCCAATATGTTTAGATCTCATTTTATCTAGACAGTTGGTATTGGTGACACAGACCAGTTGCAATTTGATTTTAAAATGTATGGGGAATTCAGTGATGCATTTTTTGAAGCTGAATATGAAATATAATTGATGTAATAGGCGTCTCAATACCGGCCGCCATGAAGCGTGATTTTGTAAACACTATCCAATATGGCGGAAAGCTCTCACGGCGTTAGCGTGTAAGTGCATTTTCGAAAACATCCCAACCGATTCTAGATTCATCGGCAACGTTTCAGAATTATAATTAGCGATTTCATGTAAAACTGATATCAGTGATCATGAATAGGTTAGTTTTGAAATTCTGTACTCCCAGTAATTATCCGATTTTCACATTTCAAAACATACAGCAAATAACGCTGTGAATCGCGATTTCATATTGTGTCAAAAATGTCGCCATTTTCGATGAAGCCTATTTTGAAAGGTCATTTTCAGCACTTGAGCTTTGTCTAAAATAATAGTGGATGGTATCAAGAAACAGAAAATTTCCCGCAGAATTCGAAACTGTGAAGTGAACTTGTGTGCGTGGGATATTTTGATTTTTATTCGACTTCAAATTGAGGGTTGAAGGGGAAGGACATATATGTCCCTGTGGCATCCAGGGGGATATTTAAAGCCACGAGTGAGGGAATAAAATTTTGGATGGATATGGACATCCAAGTTTAAAACTGGGTATTTAGTTAAAGTTTCGAATATAGTAATGATTTTGACATAAGCCAATTTTGAGTAAGTGGGGATAAGTAAATTATTGAAATATATAAATAAGAAAATGATAATATAAAACAATAGCACTGATATAATATCTTTGCTTTTATGCTTGCTTTTCTATTTAATCTCACCTTATAGAAGGGTACTGAAAGAAAATGGGAACCATGTACATGTTATATATGAAGATGAAGATGACCTGTAAATTGTTAATGGAACTTGACATTAACATGAATATCTTATCAATGTGTTCACGTGAATAGCTATGTCTTGTTTTCGTTTCTGACTTTTTCAAGACGAACATAAACATGAAAACAAGGTTGGGGAAGAAATAGCCTAGCTACGCCAGAATCTCCCACTTTTGATATAAGAACAAGGATGGGAAACAAGTAGCCTTTAAAGTTGATTCAAGGGTGGGGAAAGTTTGGCCTAGGATAAGTTGGGGAGAAGTTTGGTCTAGGCTAAAGTTTCCCCCGGGAAAGGTTTGGCCAGGGGGAAAGTTTGGCTTGTTACAACGGGTACCCGGGGATGGGTGAGTAATGAGTTGAACCCGGGTACCCATCATGTTACCCGGACCCGTTTTATCATGTGACTAATATATGAAGACTTAATTGAATGTGTTTATAATTATTATATACATTTACGAGATTGTTGTCTTACGTTTGAGATTGTGGACTAAACTAGCACAAGGTATCAACTGTCGACAACTAAGCATGTCACGTGTAACATAGGTTGCAAGTACGCCAAGTAGTTAATTGTTTACATGTAAAAGACTCAAAAACGTAGACGTCCGCCTCAAATAGAGTCTGAACAAACCGCAAAGGTAGACCTA